TTTATTGATAATTTTGCTAAAATCTTCTTTTTTCTTTAGCTATTTTTTGTGTCTGAGTAATCGACAGGAAGAGTGTATTATATTGTGTTTTTGAGAATTTTGTTAAAATAGTATATATAATTATTACTTTATATTAAAATTAAATTTAATCAATTCTAAATCGATACTAGTTGTAATTAAACTCTAAATAAATCTGAATGGTAAGATTTATTTAATTTATTGATTTAAATTAATTGAATTAATGAATAATAAATTTTTTATTAATTTAAAGATCTTTTTTTTTTGAACAAATCTTGGTCAAATATAAACTTTAAGAAATTTTATAAACAATATATATTGAATAAGTCAGGTGTTCTTGAATCATATACAATTGAAATGTATAATTGAAATTCTTACTTGTAAGCAAATTTGCAAATTAGATACTATATAGAAAAATTATATATATGCAATTACATATTATATATATATAATGTAGTTACATGAATTGTAGCACTTTGCAATAAAATAAAACTTTGAATTATCTGTTAATTCTATTTTCAACATATATATATTTATTTATTTGAACTAGTAAACTATAACCCACTATTATGTGGTTGTGATCTGCAAGATTACTTCTATAAAGAGGTTATATCTGAATATAACCATTATTCTTTTACTCTAATAGAGTATAAAACCAGATATTAGATTTTATTAAAGGGTATAACCTTTCAGGTAAAGAGTTACCCAAGTATGAACACTAGGATTATAAGAACTAATTAATTAACCTTGTATAGCCTAAGAGCTAAAATTTTAATAAATTTTGATAAATTTTGATAAATTTTGATACTAAAATTAAAAATTAATAAAAATATAAAATTAAATTAAAAATTAATTAAATTTAATCAAAAAAATTCAAAAATTAAAAATTAATTGAATTTAATTAAAAATTAATAAAAATGTAAAGGTAAATTCTAATTAAAAATTAATTAAATTTAATTAATAATTTTTTAATTATTGCAACAAAAATTAAATAAGAGCTAAAAATTTTTTTATTATTATTTTTTGTTAATATCATATATAGAAAAATGAATAACTTTTACAAAGTATCACATGAATACAATAATAGTTAAACAGGTAGATTTTCTATAAGTACCAATATTTGATGTAATATTACACCTTTAATTTTCTATTTTAAAGCTAATTTAAGCAAAAAAAACTACTATTAGCTAAAGAAAAGCTGGCAGAAAACCTTAAAAAGAGGTAAAATAATAAAATAGTAATATGGTTAATTGAAGCATAAATAAAGTGTAAAGTTTTGAAAAAGTAATTTATAAACATATTAATCAATATTGTAGTTAAAAGTAGTAGTAGTATGATATATAGTTGATTTATGAAAGAATGTTTTTGTATGTTTTGATTTGAAGGTTATATTTCTTGCAAGTTCCCAAGTATGTTGTATTTAATTTCTTGGAGTTCAGATTTCTGTTATGAACCAGTTGAGAAGGCTATTAGAGAGATTAGTAAAAAAGGTTTGCATGTGTTTATGTAGAATAAATTATATTTAGTTAAATATTTGTTGGTTGATTATTTCAAAAATAATTGTTAAGATTTGTAGAGAAATTACAAAGGTATTGTCAGTATTAATTAGAAGTTGTTGGACTTGTTGAGTTTATAGAGGTTGAAGATTGGTAAGATTTAAATTATCTATAGTTTGGTTTATGTAGTTTTTAAGGATATTAGGTAGTTGCCATGGTGCTTTATAATAGCTACTAATATGTAATATATTTTCAGGTTGATTGCATTGAGTACAATTATATGTTAGGTATATGCACAGATATCATATATTAAGGTTAAGCATTGTTGGAAGATTATCAAATATAATTTTAATATGAAGTGTATAGAATTTTGCATTATAATTTTGTGAATTAAGAATAGTAAAAAAGAGTTGAATATTAAAGATAGAATTGTTTTGTAGTTTTTTAAGTTGCAAAAAGTAATTTTTTAGAAACATCAAACATAATTAAATTTTATCATGTAAAGTAATTTAATTGTAATATTATGAGAAATTTTAATTCACAAAGTATCATAGCTTTTTTAAATTAATAATGCTCAATTAAAATAATTTAAATTATAAAAACTTGAACGATTTAAGTTTATATCAAAATATTGTCACTTGAATTATATGGGCTGCTGTCAATAGAAATCAAGCAGATCTACATTTTTTATAAAATTGAGTTATATGATTCATTTAGTAGAAAAAGTTATGATAATTATTTTTTATTTATAAAATATAGTGAATAAATGTAATAAAATTTTATGTTAAATGCAATAAATTATTTTTGTTCATTTGTGTCTATTTGTACAACCTTGGTAGATCAATTTTAGCTAAGAGATCAGATTATTTCAATTATATCGATCATTGACTAATTGATGCCATCAATAGAAATCAAGCAGATTTTTCTAATAAATCTGCTTGATTTCTATTGATGACTATTTTTTTTATCAATAATTAGCTGTGCAATGCAGTTACATGAAACTCTTTTAATAACAAAGCAGCTATTTCTTTTTTATCTCTTTCAATTTCGATCTTTTTTTTAGAGTAATGTTTGACAATATCATTTTCACTATTTTTATGAGGCTTAAATGCATTTCTTTCAACTTTATCACATTCAGTATTTCTGGTGCTTTTGTCAAAACCTTCAGGTTTATTATCAATTTTCGTTCTTTTATACTTAGATTATCTTGGCTACTCATAATAATATCACTATTTTTTTTGCTTTCAAATTGTCCCCTTTAGCATTTTCACCACTTCTTTGAAAAACATTATTGTATCTTTTGGCATTATCATTCTTTATACAGTTAACTCTTTCTAAATGCAATTTATCAGAACCAGACTTTTACAGCTTGCATTTAGAAAACAACTAAGAAAAATTGCATTTATTGAGATCAAATGTATACAACTTGGGTCAGAATCTAAAGCTGCATTTAGAGAGAAGTTGTACTGAAAGAGGTTGCACTTAAAGAGAGCTAACTGTATCTACAAACTTAAAAAATTGTATGTCTTGAACTTTACTGCTCAGATTTGTATCCTTTTTCCTTTTTTTATAATAAATCTTCAAATATGATTTCTAGTTTCTGATTCTTCATAATCCTTCTCTTTATTATATCCTTAGGTTGTACTTGCAATAAACATCAAGTCAAATGCTCTGGAGATCAACATGCATACAAATGTTTTCATCATTATCAAACTTTTCATAACCTTGACTACTACGCCTATTATCTTTTATACCAACAATACAAATTGTTTCATGTTTTCTATTTTCTTTTTTCAAGATTCAGATAATGCTCATTTTTCTTTTATATATTCTTTCTCAGTTTTATAGTCACTAACAATGCCTTTTTTTTGACTTCAATATCAGCCAACAATGATTGCTACTAGGCTTTTTGAATTCAACAGCTTTTTGCAAGTAGACATTTTCACAATATTATTCAATGAATAGAATCTTCACTTTACCTAGATTTATTGTTGTGGGGTTAAACAGTAGTTGTATACTGTAAGTTCAACACAGCATCATTTTACAATACTAGCTGTACAGTATCTCTTAAAATTGACTTATACTATATTATTTTATCTAGATTTATACAAAAATATAGTCTGCTATTAGCTATATGCAAAAAATTATATAGAATTTGAATTCATTACCTCTGATTCAAGATTAATAAGTCAGTATGATGTTCTTGCAAGTTGTATTTACTAATGCATCTTCTGTTTCAAGTTTATTTCTAAAAGCTGAAATAGCATATCATTCTTGCAAAGTTAATACTTTTTCTTCTTATCCAAGATTATTATTCAATTATTATTCCAAAGTTCTAAAGAGGTTAGTATAGTTCTTATAAGGTGCATTTGTTAATCTTTGATCAAAGTTATTACTATAAACTGCTATATAAAAGACCTAGTCTAATCCATTTTACCAATTTTAAAATTATTAATAGACCTATAGATCTCTTGTATAGGTAAGAATCTGATAATTGGAAGGGTTAATGATAGTTGAGTTACTACTGATCATTAGTACTTAATTCTATTTGTATATCTCAGGTCTTTTACATTTGACTAAAATTTCTATAGACCCAGGTATAATACACAAAAGATCTGATGCCTGGGAGTCTTTTATACGGCAGTTTACAGTAAGTTAAAAACTTAAATCTTCAGAATATTATTCTTGCAAAGTGCATTGGCTAATGTCTTTTTTTCTAATTCAAGATTATTTAATTGATTCATAGTATTCTTATCCAAGGTTATCTTTTTACTAATGCTTTCTTTTCTAATTCAAGATTATTTTTTAAATATAGATCATCCAAGATCCAAAAGAATTGGTGCAGTATTCTTGCAAAGTGTGTTTATTATGTTTCTTTTTCTAGCCCAAGGTAATTCTCTTTATAATCAAAAGATATTAGCATAGTGTTTTTATATAATAATATTTTTTTTTTCTAAATCAAAGTTGTTTTTTAAATTTTATATAGATCTCTAATATTCAAAGAAATTTAGCTAAGTATTCTTGCAAAGTGCAATTGTTAATTTTTTCTTTTTTATCAAAGATTATTACAAAGATTCAAAGAAATCAGTATAGTGTTCTTGAAAGTGCATTTTCTAATGTTTTTCTTTTCTTATAATTCAAAGCTTATAATAATCAATTTTTAAAGTTAAAGTGATATTCTTACAAATTTCATCTGCTAATGCTTTGCCTTCTTCTGATCCAAGTTCACTACATTGAATATTTAAAATAGTTCAAAACATTGTTTTCTGCAAAGTGAAATAGCTAATGCTTTTTCCTTTTTTTAATCCAAGTTTATTGTCATATTTGAATTGTGGGTTGTTGTATGATGTAAACTCACTATATAGACAAGAAATAAGGAATCTGGTATAGTATGAAATAGGAAAATTTATGCATATGCATAATTGATTACTCAAAATAGATGATAGGGTAAGAACTATGAATAAACAGGTTATTAAACTTATCATTATGCATAACATAGTAGGAATACTGCAAAAGGAAAGCCCTGAATCTTTATCTAATAAGGTTTTTAGGTTTTCTTTTTGTGGCACTCATATATAAAAGTTTATAATGTACAAATATAGAAACAATAAAATAAAGAGTACCATATAAACTATTTCGCTTACTATTAGATTGTATTTTTATTGCACACCACTTCAGTACTTTATTAACTATGAATGAAAATATAAATAAAAATGTACTTTTTGATAGTATTTTTATTAATACACATTCTGAATTAACTACTTTATATAATAAGTTTAATAAATTATATAAACATTATAATACAACTGAGGATAATGATGAATTAATAAATGAAGAAGAATTTTTTATTGAAAATCAAGCAAGTAATAATAGCACAATCGAATATGTTGATAGTTTTGAGTCAGATTTCTTTACACAGCAAGAAATTGTATTATTTCAGCAAATTTATCAAACCAATTTAATACAAAACTTTATGAAATATAAAGAAAAAAAAAGTCAAATGTCTGAACAAGATGATTAAGCATTTTTAACTAAAATTCAACAAATAGCTTGTTGTAATAAAAAATGCTTTAGTACTTTTATTAATCACAACAAAGCCCTTAAAAGATTTTGTAAGATTAGATTAATGTTAGCAATAGAAAAAAATATATTTTTTTTAGGAATTCTTAAGGCTAGTATATGACAAACAACTACTGACCATAAAGAAAGTAAAAAGCTTACAACAAGTAATTATAAATTTCAAGGAGTTTTGGTTTGTCAGAAAGCTTGGCTTACTATTTATGCTATTGGAAAAGCAAAATGAGAAGCAATTCGAACACATCATTCAAAAAATGATATAAGTCCTATAGTCTAAAGTCTTAAAGGATATATTAATAATCATGCTATTAAGTTTGAAACAATATTACATATACTAATATTTATTCGAAATTTTGCTATACAACATACTTATAATCTGTTTAAAATTAATATACTAATGCTATATTAATAAATAATATATAATTAAAAACAGGTTGTCATTTTCGTGAAGATACATGCCCTATTATATACTTACTAGCACATGAAAGTTATTATTCATTGTTTCGTCTTTATAATAATACAGTTGATATTAATGATAAAAATAATTATGTAGTTAGTCAATTAAGCTTTTGCCAAATTTAGAAACATTATCTTTCAGAAATCAAGTTCTTAACTGCACATAGTGATCTTTGTATACAATGTAAAGAAATAAGATTTAGTGCAAAGTGATGAACTCAATCTGAAATATTAAATAAAATAAATAAATAGTATAATTACTATTCTTGGGCTAGTTTGAAGCAAGAGTATTATTGGTAAATAATAATTTACTAATATAAATATACAGGGTGTATGTATATGCATAGATATTGATTTACAAACCCATGTAATATATAATAATAAATTATAAACCCGATTTGAAGTTAAGATTAGCTTAAGGGTTAGAAGAGGTTATAACTGATACTAAAATTTTTATAAGGAATCTTTTTTGTTAGAACCCCTAAGTAGGTTTTAAAATCAGAATTTTGAGATATTAATGTATCTATATTTCATATACTAGAATACAAATAGAAATTTTCTATTTTAAATTACATAATAATTTAAAACTAACTTTATTAAATATTTGTAGAAAATGCATTGTTATATCTAAAGAAGAAATTAGAAAATTTAATAATAATTTACAATGACCTGGTACTCTGAATTCACAAGACATAAAAAATCATATCTCATAGAATTTTGCTAAAAGTATACATTTGCCATTTTTATCACAACAAGAGGAAAGTTTCTTTTATATATGTAATTAAAATTTTATCAAATTATACTAATTTATTATTTTAAATACAGAGAGCTATCTATTTTAAATCATTATTTAAGGTTGGAGTTTTTGGTATATGTGAAGAAGCATTTCCATGACAAGTATTAAATTTTTATTATTAAATTTTAGTAAAATAAATTGCTGGATAAAAGATTCTTCACAATAGTAGACTTCTTATATATTATACTTGAATGTGAATTGAGTCAAATGAGTAACATCAAGAGAAAACCCATAAATCTTATTAGATAAGATTTGCAGATTTTTTCTTGACAGCACTCAAATGTTGAGTTTTTTTAGATATTTAAACACCTGTTAGATGTGTAAATATGCATACTCTTTCAAATTTTCTTTAAGTATATAAACTTTATACTATTAACTATACATGGTATCTATTATAGGTTTTAATATTAATGGAATATAAGAGATCTGGGTCTTTATTTAGCTGTTTATGATATTTTATATTTCAATAAGATTGTATAATAGGTTTTTCAACTTATAACCATAATCAGTAAACAAAATTTTACTGTAATACTTGATAATGTTTGTTATTTTTCAGTAATTCTTAATTTTTATATCAGATTTTAATAGGTTTATTTTGGGTAAAGGCTTATAAAATCTTCTACTATTGTAATAGTATAATAAAAGATGTGTTTTTAAGATAATTTTTATAACCTTAGCATAATAATATTACATTATTAATAGTAAGGTTTTAAATTCTTTTAGTCAGCATGATCGTATAATTAAAAATAAAGATTTTTTTGATAATTTTTTTAGTTTGTGACCAAAAAAATTATAAAAATGAAGGTTATTAAGTTGAAAAACCCATCATACTTTATATTAAACAAAGAATAAATTTTTTATTTTCCACTTTGGCCTCTAGTTAATAGAAAATTTATTTCTACCTTTGTGAGAAATAAATAGTACTTATTTTAATAATATTAATATGTTTTAGGTAAATTATTTAATACCTGAAGATCAAAGTATTAGAAAAAGTGCAGACTCAGTGATTTCATTAGTGCATAGTTATTTCTTCTTATATGGACTTGGTGAAAGTGTATAACTATCCATGCTAATAACTGCATAGGGCAGAACAAAAACAATGCAGTAATTAAATATTTTGCTTGGTGAATTATAAATGGATTATATAAAAAAATCACATACTCATTTATAGTTGCAGGACATATCAAATTTAGTCTAGACAGATTTTTTGGAATTTTTAAGCTTAAATTACATGATTCAGAAGTAGATGATTTAGATAATCTTGTTCAAGTTGTTAATAATTCTACATTAGGCAGGTTTAATGTTGCTTAAATTCTTAATAGACTAGATAGTTCAACACAAGTTAAATTTTATCAATAGACAAAATTTTTGAATACTTATTTTTTAACAATTCCATCAATCCTTTGACAGCATTATTTTATATTAAGTCATAACTCTTTAGAAAAAGTTGAAATCAAAGTAGAAATTAATGGTACCAAAATGATAGTAAATTTACTTTGTGCAAATACTAAACTACCTACTAAAGATGAATTTCCTGATAAAATAACTCCCCCTGGCTTGAGCTTAGAAAGACAATAGTACCTATATGAGAAAGTAAGACAACATATTTAAAATCCATATAAATGTGATTTTTATTGTTCAAAACTACAAGTGCCCAAACCAAAAAAGCATCATAAATAGTAGCAATTTCTTATCCAACATTAGTTTAAAGATTATTTGCAATTGGAAGGGATGAACATAAAATATATAGATTAACTCAACACAGAACTACCAATAGATTCATAGCATTTATAAATTTTATTCAGAAAGAAAATACAGAAATGACATGTGCGAATACTATAAATATTTTAATACCTCCTCTACTTAGTATCATAAATGTGACCCTTTGAGAAAAATTCAAAGATAGATGAGTGAAAATGAAAATATTGATGATTGTATTAAACAATTTCAACTTAAAGAACAAAATATGACAAATTCCTATTGATCGATTAAATAACATATTAAATTTTAATTTAATTATATTTTGTTTTACAAATAAATAACAATGATTAGAAATTTTGAGTTAAAGTATTTATTTTAGAAGAAAAAAAAAATAGCATATGTAATTATTATAATGTAGATAAGAGTTTAGTATGCTTATGGTTTGAATATGTTATATGATATGAGAACATTAAATTAAAATTAGGATTATATTAATAAGAAGAATACTCATTAGCTTAACTACTTTAGAAGTTTATAGTAACTTAAAATCAATTCATTGTAATGCTAATTTTTGTTAATATCTACAAATTATATCATAATTGCATAGTGGAAAATTCTATGACTATTTATTTGTTATTGTAGTAATGATAATTTATGAATTATATCTAAATCAGCATAGAGTGGGATGTTATAAATGATCCTTTATTAACAAAGTGAGAGGAGTAACATATGAAGGATAATAAAGATAAAATAAAAGGCTATGTAATAGAGAAATAATATATAATTTCGATTATTCTAATGATTTTACTTTCTTCAGCAACCAACTATTATTAATCTCTTAATAAAACACATTTCACATAGCTTATTGTTATGCAGTACCAAAAGCTAATCTGAACATACATGTGTATTGCTCTCCTGACTTGAGGTATTATACCATGTACAGTAAAAACAAAGCTGCTATAATCATGGCATATTACAAATAAAATAATCTCAGAAAACATTATTTTTTACTAGGCAGCAATAATATTATAACTTTCTACTAGTAAAATTTT